TGTAGATTTGGCTCACAAGAAGAGCACTGATCAATCCAGTACCTCAAGCAATGGCTTCAGCGAGCGAGCAGTGGATGAAAATTACAGTTCTGATTATAGCATGAAGTCATGTACCCATACAAAGGACGAGAATAATCCTTGGTGGCGCGTTGACTTGGGTTCAGAGCACATCATTACCGGTAAGTACTATAAGAGGACACAAAAGGTTCAAGATAATAAGCATACTTTACCAAATTGAGCTGATGCTCACAGTATTTGAAGCAACTTTTGTAGCTGCAAATTGAAAGACTCAGAAAAAATTCTTGAGTCTTGAAAGGGAATTTAAACCCATGCCCTAGCGATTCCGGTGCCATGCTCTAACCCCTGAGCTATCAAATCTCATATGGACTTCAAGGACGCATTAGGTGGATTTATTGGCCCGATAGGAAAGATATATATGTGTATGAGAAGCACACTTTACCATACACATAGGGGCAGCTCCATTAAGTATTAAAGATGGAGTGAAGTTGGAGTCGTAACCCATTTAATAATTTTTCGTTTGATAAAATCTGAAATGCTAGACATCTAGAAATCCTTGACWTATATTATTCACAATTGGTTGTTCTCATATTAGATATCCTTATCGTCAATCGTCACAATAATTTTGAACGTCTAAAGAACTTTGACGTGAGAGTTGGCGTCCATAGAGACCAGAGTCGAAACCCAACTTGCAATGACAGAATAAGAACCGTTGGACAAGGACAAGCYTTGCGTGTCCAGTGTAATCCACCGATCCCTGGACGATACGTTGCTGTACAGATGTTTGGCAAGGGAATACTTACCTTGTGTGAGGTTGCTGTATACTCCAGAATAGGCAAGTTTGGTTGATTAAGTTTAAATATATCTTTTAAAAGATCTTGGGTGTGATGTTTGGTACAGGAAGATGTTTGAAATAGTTGACATTAACAGTTTTATTTTACTTTAGTTTGAAATTTTCAAAAAGCACCTTGGGTCCCTAAAATATGTGACCAGAATGACATAGTCATGGCAACCATGATCACGTATCATTGTCGTCGTCATCATCATCATTATCATCATCATTATCACCATCATCATCACTGCCATCATCATCATCATCACCATCACCATCATCACAATCATCATCATCATCATCACCACAATCATCCCCATCACCACTATCACCATCATCACTATCACCATCATCATTATCAT